GTCATCTCTGATTGATATCTAGCTTCCTACTCCTACTTTCACAGCATTCCAGTCTGCCTTCAAATTAATATGGTAAGGAAAATGGCATTTTATAAACTTAGAACACCTAAACAGAGAGAGATTATTTAAGTGACAGGGAGATTATATAGGAATTACCTGAGATTCAAAGGGATTTTCTTTTGTGATCATTTACTGATGAACATTATTAGTGGATGATGGGATAACTGGGCTAGCACTCTATCATTTGTTTGTTTGACAATCTTCTCTAAGATTTGCATCTTATCATTTATTTATTTTCTGTACCTTTAGTAAGAGTTACAAAGAAGATCATCCCCCCTCTTCCCACCAAGAGGGGTAGTTCTCACTTTCTCCTATCCTTCTTGTTAATGCTTTTGTCCCTCTACCACTTATTCCTTTTCAGTCTGATTTGTAACTATAATTCAGATCCACCATTTTTGGGGGTGGGGTGAGGGTGGCTAGCTAGCCAGTATGGGGATCTGAACCCTTGACGTTGGTGTTATTGGCACCACATTCTAATCAAGTGAGCTAATGGCCAGCCCCTCAGATCCACTTTTCTTTTTTTTTTTGACCAGTAAGGGGATCGCAACCCTCAGCATGGTGTCATTCTTACCACGCTCAGCCAGCAAGTGCACCGGCCATCCCTATACAGGATCTGAACCTGCTGCCTCAGCACCACCAGTGCCCCACTCTACCGAGTGAGCCACGGGGCCAGCCCCAGATCCACTTTTGATATGGACTTTGGGTAAAAGAAACAGAGTAAAATGTAATATAGATCCCAAATTGTGTTTATTTTTTATTTATTTTAATTTTTTATTTTAACATCTACTTTTATGTATTTATGGGGTAGTGTGTTGTTCCAATACATGCATATATTGCACAATGATTCACCTAGGGTAGATAGCACAGTTTTGTTTGTATCCATTAGTTCACCATTTCTCCTTCCCCCTGCATACTGCCCCCCCCCAACCTATGGTAACCATTATTCTACTCTCTACTTCTATGAGAACCCCTGTTTTTTTTTTTTTTT